CACTTTCTGGCAAACAGGATGTTCTGATTCTCACGAGATACATGTATGTGGGAACTACTAATGTGCAAGTCAAACATCAACACAATCATGAGTTCAAAAGCATTGTTTCTTTTGAGGAATATGCTGAGCTTGAGAATTGGAGCTCGACCTCGAACAGACAGCCTTGTTTTTGACTTCAGGAAGTGTCAGATTTCAATGCATCCATGGGAGGCACATCGAATGGTTTCAATGGGGTTTCTCCTTATCTATCAAGGAGGAGCTTTTGCACCGCAGGATAGCCAGTTGTCCCGTTCACTTCCTGCTGGGGAGCTGTGTCGGTTAGAATCTGTGTCGATCAAGTTCCCACGCAGACTGAAACTGCAATAGGCTTTTATTCACAGCAACATACGTTCAGCGTTTGATCTTTGATTGCCTTGTCCTTGCCTAGGTCAGCAACCACAACCAAACAACAAACACCACTTACCAAGAGTCACTTACCATCCCTCAGCACATTGCCGTCACATCATGTCGTGATAAAATCTGTAGACCTGTCCGTTCAGCATCCGGGGTTTAAGATGTGCGTCTTCTCGCCCTGGCTGCGCTCGACATGTTTTTCATCCACCCGACGCCGTGCCGCCGTGCCTTTTCCCACAAACCGTCCGATGCCAAAATGACGTAGCTGTCCGGCGGGATCCTCGGCGTGAGCGGTTTCCATCAACCAATTCCAGACCCGCGATGGGACAGGAATTGTTACATACATTTGCCCCATTACACTATATATAGTAGGTCACTACATAGTCTCTAAAGAATGCAGTTCTTCAATCCAGCCCTGTGCGTGAAACGAAGACTGTTGATGGATTGGCCCGCATCCGCACTAGCCTGACCGACTGAAATCTGTACAGTAGTTTCAGTAGATGGCACAAACCCCAAGGATCCCCAAGGATGTCTTTTCCCATACACTCCATGTATGGAATATATGCCTACATTGACCCCCCAAACCACCCCAATGTAGGCATATATGGCATACATGGAGCGTGTGGGTTTATACGTATTTCCATTAACACAACGCAACACACCCAACTTGGACTTGCGAGCCATCGGACCTACCTCTGACTGAGCGAGATCAGGAGAGATGAGATGAGACGGCGGTGTGTGCTTTTTCCCGTTTGGGCTCCTGTCCCATCAGGTTCGGTGGTTAGACCATGTTAGACCACCCACCCCTGGCCCATCTTCGAAACGGAGGGGGCCTCCGTAGCCCTTTCACTGGCTTGGCTGGTTGTGCATCGGGGTTGGTGCGAGAGAACCGAACTGATATCTCGAACGTTGGATTACCGCCCCCGCAAACGCTTCCATGGACTTGAGAATTCACCCCTGTTCAAAGCATTTTTCTCTACAACCAGGTTGCACAAGCGCAGAGGTAGTGATTATAATATATATATATATTATATATTCTAAAGGCAGCCGTTGTCGAGTGGCACCACACACCACACGGGATGCCAGTTGCGCGTAGGTTTGATGTGATTTGGAGGGTCCGGAGGGCCAACTACTTGGGATGAACCGCTTGCCCACACGTTGGCACTCCCTGCTGTCGCTTCACTCGGCTGCCCTGCTGGACGCAGGTGTGGATGGACGGTTCATTGAGTACCCCCACCGCACTGGCCTGGCTCGCGTCGCATGTCGGTCGGAGGCCATCGCTCTTAGGTTGGAGGCCATCGCTACTAGGTTGGAGGCCATCGCTACTAGGTTGGAGGCCATCGCTCTTAGGTTGGAGGCCATCGCTACTAGGTCGGAGGCCATCGCTACTAGGTTGGAGGCCATCGCTATTGGCAAAGCGTCCTGCAAAAAGCTTAAGCTCAAGCTGCAAAGGATCCGGCAAAGTCATGTTCCGATTGGGCCAACTTCTCTATGGTTCTCTATATAATTACTATCAGGGACAGACAGTTAGAATATGCTAAAAGTATTTAAACGCAGTTAGAATATGAAAAATTTAAATACTGGATTTTTTGGGCGGAGCGCAGTTAGAATATTTTATCATGATTTTTAATGATCTTTTTATGTTAGACAAAGAATGCAGTTAGAATATGCCTTATGAAGAAGAAATGGCCAAGAAATTAGCAGCCGGTAGCTGCAGATTTGATGCTCAACCTTGTCGTTCTTTGTATGTAGTTGATACTGTACTGTCTTGATATGTGTGGCGGCTCTTGGGGTCGCTGTGCACTGTAGATATCATATTGTCTTACAAGCTCGTATGGTCGTTTTGATTTTGGCTGTTGCTGCTGTTCTGAATATTGTCTCATATTCTATCTGCGTTTCATATCGTGGATCGAGAAACGCTTGCTGGCTGGATTGTTTACAGTACTGTATTATGTTTTGTTGCTGTGCTGTGTACTGTATGTATGTACTGTATGTAGGTACAGTGCGTATACTGTAACGGAACGAAAACGCGACGCGAAACGCGCATTTGTTGAAGCACAGCGTCCCCAAGAGCCGCCGCACTCCAACAAGACACCTTTTTTCTCACTTTCCATTTCCTTTCTTCTTCTTCTTCCTCCCTCCGGAGGATCTACGCTTCCCGAGCAGCTCACGCTCCAGGGCTCTGACTGAAGGCCTCTTCCACAGCTCTTCCAATGGGAGCTGCTGCCACTTCTGTGTAGTGAAAGGCCTCAGAGCTCCATCTTCCCGACTGGCCACGAACGTTGGCTTCACTGTCGACGAGGAAGATGTCTGGCCTTCAGCCTCATCAGGTTCTCCACCAGACTCGAACTCGTCGTCATCGGCCCCATCCGCGTCCAAGAAGTCGTCTGCGTCTGCCCAGCTCTTCTCCTGCACGTGGAGCAGTCTGTATGCACTAGAAACCCTTCAGCGTCCCCATGAGCCGCCGAAGGCTTGTTCTACAGCTACAGTGGTGTATTGAAAATATATTCTAACTGCACTATTTGCATCTTGTTTTGCTTTAAACAAGTACAATATAGGTTTCAACCTTAAGAATGAACATTTAGCAAAGTTCTTCTACAGTACCAAATGTTAGTTTCACTATTGCAAACACCAGTGCATTTCCGTATCCCTTCCGTGTCCTTGTCCAACGATGTAGTGGTGCTCTTTGCATCCGTGGCCTTCAAAGACGCCTGGCAGGAACAGCAAATGAACCTGAAAATCCATTGGCTTGAACTCCGTGGATGTTGGACATGACTCACTCTCATCTCAAAGGTCTGAGTTTGTGCATGACGTTTAGATGGCTTTTGGGAATGAGGTCGGAGGAGCCCGTCCCAGCCCTGTCCTGAGCATTGTCTTTGCCAACTCTCTTGGCCAGCGAAGCCACCACCTGCCCGGCATGCTGCGAGCAGCAAGCAGTCTGCCATGGGCAATCGGATAACGGTAACAGTATCTTAATTAGATATTCAGCTTGTTGAAAAGGAGACCTCAATCTCCAAACAATCGCCTGCTCAAACGCAATGCGCAAAACTGTTTGAAACCCTTGGAACACATGTTCTTAGTACTGTACTGACACAAAAACCAATGCCGCACTTCTGAAACCAAACAACAAGCCACCCCAGCCCAACCGCCTCGTCAGAGTCAGTAGTGGTGCACTTCCTCTTCTTGGAGGCAGACACAACCTGCGCAACCAAAAAATGGTCTGGATACTGTATACTGTACATCAAACTGTACAGAACCAACGACTGCAATTCCCTGACCTCAGCACCTACTGTACTGGTCAGTATTGTACTGTTCACAACAATGATCAGGCTTTATGGCATGTTAACAAACGGGTACAGTACAGTGCAGTAAAGTTCACGCCTCATTTGGGTCCATGGCGTCAAAACCTTGCCCGGTCACTACAGGTGAGTTGTTTACAGACTGTAGTAGTGCTGCATCACTACAGTATAGTACTGTAAGTTCTGTTTGTTTCAAAAGTTGCAACTGTACTGTACTCTACACAGTTTTTCTACTTCCTGCATATGTACAGTACAGTGCTGTGTGGTGTACTGCATTGTACGATACAGTAAAGTATAAAAGCTAAGGCTTCAAATCATGTGGTTACTGTGCTGTAGACAAATGAAATGAGCCTCAAAACACTGTGGAAGCCGTACTGTGTAGATTGGAGCACAGCAGTGTGCATTGCACTGTACAGTACGCACGCAGGCGGGAGGCCATTGCTATTAGGTTAGGGGAGCCATTAGGTTGGAGACCATTGCTATTACAGTAGGTTGGAGGCCATTGCTACTAGGTTGGGGGCATCACTAGCAGCATCATGCTCATAACTGGCATCACGTCCAGCATGGCTAGCAAGCAGGCCTTTGATCTTTGGCTGCTCTTATTAAAACATTGCAAAAGCAGTGCAGTTAGAATATATATATATATATGTAGTCTGCACCGTAGGTTGGACTTTTAAAGAAAACTTATAGGAAAAGCATAGGCCATTGCTAATAGGTTAGGGGCCATTGCTATTAGGTTGGACCAGGTTGAAGGCCATTGCTATTAGGTTGGAGGCCACTGCTTCTCACCAATGCTACTGTAGCATGTTGGAGTCCATTGCTATTGATTGGAGGCCATTGCTATCAGGTTGGACCAGGTTGGAGGGTTGGAGGCAACTGCTATTATATAGGTTGTGAAATTACATTGAAACCTGCAGCGTCCCCAGGAGCCGCCACATGTTTCCGCGTGAGCGCGCATTTTTTCATCTCCCTTCCCCTTTCACGTGTTCTAGATCATGCAGAATTCTGTATTGAGCTGCTCAAGTTGGCTGCACCATGTCCTACTTCTGTACAGTACTGGATAGGAACTGCGGTGCTTGGGCGACAGCTGTAGTACAGCACCGTGCATCTGAACATGCTGGTTAGTTCCATACAAAGCAACAAGCGGAGATGCCAAGACAAAACATATACAGTACAGTACATTATAGTACTGTATAGTGCTGTGTAATGCTGCATTTGTTAAGCCTCTTCTAGGACAATATTGTTCAGTGGGATTGTTGTAGTATATTCTAAGTGCACTCTGAAATTCATGTCTGGAACATTCTGGAACTAATCCTTGTGAGGCGGCTCAGCTGCTCGCAAACCCTGGATCTTGCCCAGCTGCTTCCTGGCCAGCCTGTCACTGGCGTTGACCTTGATGTGGGACTCAAGCATCAACTCCACCACGCGAAGAAGCGCCTGCCACGCATTTCTGCCATCGGAACCCCAACTTCGTGAGAAATGTGCGGAACAGGCACTTTGCGCTCGGTAAACACGAGCTGCTGGGTGGCATCCAAGGCTGCAACCATGAGGCCGGGTGGCAAGGCCAAGGTCTTTGAGGCGCTGATATTCTGGCTGACTCTCCAAGACTCTAACACGCTTGGCTTTGGCAAAAATTGGATCGCATGCTTCACCCTCACTGTCGGAGTCTGTGTCCACGAACATATACTGTACCATGTCGGGGTGAAGATTCTCTCCCTCATCCTCGCTGCAACCAACCATGTTCTGGTCAGCTTGTTGCAGTTCAACGTCTTCTGCAGTCGCTGCATTGTCATCATATTCGGCGTCTCCCAGCATCTCGGGCTGTTGTGGAAGATCTCCACTAAAATGATCAACCTCTGCAGGAACAGCGTCAGTCGGAGGGAGTTGACCTTGTATCAAAGCCAGGCGCCATATCTTCCCAGCGCCAGCGCTAATCATGAGGTTCTCTGCCTTATCGGCCATTTGTATGACAAGGAGCAGGCATGTCTTTTTCAGTTGGTGTCGACTTTTGCTGGTGAAATTTTTCACCTGTGTTTTCGTCTTCTTGTTGAGGATGATACTTCTAGCTGTGTCTGACATCCACTGCTCATAAGCTTCTTGCATTTTAGGAGTCAATTGATCATGCCCCTGCTCCAATCGCTTCTCCTTGCGCTGCTTCCAAATGGCTGATTCCTGTTTCCAGATCAGAATCGCCTTGTCGATTGGCCCCACGAACCATTGGGGTAAAACAATCGGAGCAGCTTGCGGGTTCTCTGGATCAGTGATGGACCAAAGGGAAGTGACTTCACCAGACATCACTGTGGTCTCTGCTTTTGCCACCCCGCTCGCGTCTCCAGGCTCGTGTGGCTCCGGCAACTCGTCCAAATCAGCAAGCTTTCGCAGTTCGCCAGAGGCTGACTCCAAGAACTGTTGCGCTTCTTCAAGGTTCTGGTTGAAATGCCAGGATGCTAGTTGCTCCATGCTAATCAGCCCTCTGCTAATCCATGACCAAAGCAAGATCTTCCCGTTCTTGTAGTTTCCGATCTGTTGCAGTGCCCACGCGTCGGCCATGAGGGACCCTTCAACACTCAGCCTCAGCGCAGACAGACAGCAAGCACATATTCTATCTGCAATGTTGTACTGCTCCGTGAATACAGTATTGTATTGCGCAACACAGTTCTTCAATGCTACCGGCGTGGGCTGTATGGTGTGGGTTGCGCCTAGTTAGGCGCAGTACAGCGCGGTATTGAATCTTCAACACTTAATGAATTTGCTGCCGTCTGAAAACAGTATCATGTTGATGTACATACTGTACTATATAAAGTACTGTGCTGTATGCTTTTTGTTGGTGAACACGTACGGTATTATTGTATCATCGTCGTATGCGCCGCAGTATATATTCAAATCTTGATGACCAGCATTAGGAACATCAATTTACAGTACTGTAAATGCACAGTGTCCTTCAAGTGACTGCTCCCTCAACTCCTTGCACATACTTTTGCACTGCGTCCGGCTGATGCTGGCTCTGCTGGGTTCAATCCGGCTTGGATTCCGTGGAGCTATCTAGTGCACAGCCCAAATCTGAACCTACAGGAAACTACCATTCGCTGGTCACCTACCATTCGGAGGTGGGAACGAACATTCCATTACAGTAAAACAGCCGAGCCAAGCCAAGCAACATGCTTTCACCAGTACCCTGTCAAGACGAAAAGGTTGCAGGACAACACCAAAAGGTTGAGTGGATTCATATTCTAACTGCACTGTCCAAAGCTTGGTTTATACTAGAGTTTGCTTTTGCTTGCTAGCTGCTAGCTTGGCAATTCCAGAAATTCCAGACCAGGATCTACTGCATCTCTGGTGACTCCTCAGGAGTTCTAGGGACAATGTGCATTGCTGTACCTCGGAAAAGCCGTGCAGGAGCTAACACAGGTCTCTCCGGAGGATCGTCTAGGTCCTCTGGCGGAGTGAATGGCTCGCCAACCGGTGTTCTTGGGGCCACATACTCTCCGATGTCGTACCCAAACTCATTGGGCCCGTCATCTTCTGAAAGGTCGCTCTCAAATTCCCAATCGTCCTCCCCATAGATAACCTCCTGTGGCGGCTCATCCTCAAACTCCCAAGGAGGCTCACAGTCTGGTGTCCTTGGCGCCGGATCTTGCAAGCCAACATCGCCAACATCACCTCGATCAGCTGAATCAGCTGGCTCCAATTCAAGTGGATCCTGAAGCTCTGCAATGCGGTCTTCCAGCATGTGAGCCTCGGCCATGTCATCAGGTGGAACCTCTACAGAAGCGCTCGACTCACCCGAGTCATCCGAAGATGAACACGAACTGCTCCCGGAAGCAACGGTGCTTTCCTCTGCAGGTTCATGAAGTTCATGGCCACCAGAGCTCAAGTTGCGAAGCTCTTCCAAAGACATGTCATCATCGGTCGGTGTGCGCTCACGTTTAGGCATCGCGGAATCTACAGTGGGATGTCCAACCGATTTCTGGTCTGTCCCAAGGCCCAAATGGCTGCAGAAACCATGATGCAACATGGTACAGTAAGGTATATACTTACATGTACTGCACCGTACTATTTACTGTATAATACTGTACAGTATAGTAGAGCATATCAATGCATACCTATTACACAATCAGCGTCCCCAGGAGCCGCCAACTGTACTGGAGTATGTGTAATGTATACAGCACACAATAAGCATGACAGTGCTGTACTGTACCATGTCCCATCACTAGAACTGAACTGGTATGTGTTCAATTGCCCTTACAGTAAATTACGTGTATTTAGCCAAGCGGCGTAAAGCGGGAATTGCCATCAATGGAGATGCCCATGTCTTGATACGCAGTGCGGAGCTTCACGCTTGCACTCATCCCCGTGGCCATTCGCATCCATGCCCTTCGCATGTAGTGGAAAAATTGGTGCCACGCATCATTTGGCGCACCACATGCGCCCCATCCTCCAACGATCTGGATGCCGTGGTCATGTAGAGATGAACGGCCCCCGTGCAAGAGGATGACATTCGCCTCGAGCTCAAATCTGGCTCTGATCTGGTCATACACTCCGGTGCTATGCACAGTGGCTGCATCGCAAATGACCAATCCTTTGCTTTCAAAAGGTATTCCGAGGGATTGGCGCTTCCTTTTGATTTCAACCTTGAGGAAGCTCAAGTAGTTTTGAAGCGTGTCCCCATTCCACATGTGCGATTTGCTTTCATGGCCCCTTGCAATCCACATCGTGCCCTGGAGCTTATTGTTCATCTCCTCTGCAATCTTGTCTGTGATTGTTGTAGTGGGAGCTGTAATGTAAGCACGACCCATTGTCCCGTCTGCAAAACTCAGGGTGGTGACTGTCTTTGCTAACCTCGATCCATCCACAGGAACCATTGTAGACTGTGCATTGAGCTGCGCATGGGCTGGGCCATCCTTCTTAGAATCTCTTCCATCCTCATTTGATGGCAATGACAGCGCTTGACGGATCTTGTGAAGCATAGACCGTTCGGATGCTGGTCTCACATCTTTCATGCTGCCCGCCTCGTCTTGCGGCTTGAAGAATACACGCTTTGCTGCCTCAAAATGCACGCTCCAAACTTGGTCAAAATGACACATCAGCCTCGGATCGATCTTCTTGGAAGATATTGCCATGGATATCCATTCCCTGATGGCCTTCATATCTGGGTGGTCATATGGCAAATGGCGCGTTTGCCTGCCGATTCTCGAACTCCTCAACCCAAGCTTGTGCGCCAAGCGGTAAACGCATTTCCTGGAAAGAGGTGAACAAATGGGCAGGCAGTACGATCATATTCTAACTGCAAAGAATGATATTGCTACAGTATTGTACAGTATACAAATTACGGTATAGTACAGCAGAGTATTGTAGCGTTAACATTACCTTCACCATGCCACCTTTTTCCTGAAGATAAGAGAACAATACAGAACAGTACTGTTTGCCGCCAAGAGGCTTCATATTGTTGTGTCCCTGCGCGACCATGCATGGCTTCAAATGTTCTAAGATCCTGTCAAGTTCACTCTTTGCGCCCTCCTGTAGCTCTGCAACACGGTCTTCCGACATTTGATCCTCAATCATGTCATCGCACTCTCGTAAGACCCGCTGACCAACGGACTTTCGAACCAAGTCTGTGCAAACCTCCTCCCCCATACAAATCCTCTCCAGCACCAAAGTCTCTAATGCCGAAACTAAAGGCAGGGGGACCGAGTGCAATCCTTCATCTCTCGAGAACTTCCCGTTCGAATGCTTCAGGGTATCCACTCCCAGCAATGACCGAACCGAGTTCGGAAGCTCTGCCATCTGTTTGGCCTGCTTGGGTGCCAGCTGGCAGAATAAATCCCAGTGGTGATCAATGCGTTTCTGGCCCCAGTGGGATTTGGAGAAACATCCTTGATACTGGCCTTGGTTCCTGGTGTTGTACAACATGTGCTTTTCTGGGAATCTGATGTTTGGGTCTGCTTTCAAGCGTTCAAACTCTTTGAAGAGCTGCACCTTTGTCCAAATGGAAACGCAATGCTTTTTGCCCGTCCGCTTCACTTCACTCGATTTGTTGTACCTTCTCTTCTTCGCCGGCTGCGCAGCATGCTCCCCACCAGATCGCTTGAGACCATGCTGCTGTCGAAGGTCTTGAATCTTCTGAACAGTCAGTTGTCCACTGCAATAGACAGCTGCTGAGCACTTGCCTCGAACGCGATGTGTAGGAGCTGGCCCCTTTGCAACCACAATAGATGAGCAAGGAGCCGCAGATGAAGCAGAATCACAAGTTTCTTCACCATCTTGATTCACAGCTTGTGTGTCAAGCTTGGATGCTGTATCTTCCATGATTTGCTGGAATGCAGCCCAAAAGGCTTCCAGCTCCTGTGCAGTCATATCTCGAACAGCTCTTGGCTTCCAACCGGTAGGTGGCTTGTCAAAGCGGTCAAGTCCTCTGTCCACCTTCTTCATGTGCTTCCAGAACACAAGCAGCTGCTCTTGGGTCATGTCAAGGGACAAGTCCTGGCAGGCCATCATATGCAGGACAGCAGCGCACACAACACCGTATTCTATCTACTCTACTGTAGCAACTGTAGTGTGCAGCTTGGTACTCTACTATCAGGTACTGTACAGTAGTGTTGGGCAACGTTCAACATGCTTCACCCTATGACTGGTCCTGAAAGGTTCTTTCACATGCAGGCGCTTGAGTAAACCTTGCTCGCTTCTCGGACGATGATGCATCGAAGAAATCATTGATACGCTTCTTGGCAGAGTTGTCAGCGTGGTCTGTCCCTGCTGAGTTTTGAGAATCATCATTGCCATCAATGTCCAGCGCATCATCCAAAGGAGGGCAGGCGTTCAAGTCCTCTACTGCATCTCCTGTGTTGGTTATGGTTTTCCATCCTCTAGCATGGACGAGGCTGGCGAGCAGCTGCGCCTGAGCTACAGTGCTCGCGAACGCATTGCCCGCTAGAACTTGGGCTTTCCCAGGCTTCTCCAAACAGTGTTCTACTGCTTGGGGGTTCAAAAAATCATCTTTCCAAATCCCCTGGCAATGGAACATCTCCTGCACAGTCAAATTTCTGCCCAGCTGTACGCTGTATATAGGATGCGAAGGACGTACACATGTTGAGACTCCTGTGCATTCCTCCACTCCCCAGCCCTCGGAGCTTGACGTATCGACGAATATGTTCTTGCAACCATTTTGCACAGCAGATTTCTCAAGAGCTTGTTTGACCTTCTCCAAGGCGTTTCCTCTTAAGGTGCACTTTGGCAAGCTCGAGTCAAAGATTTCCTCGAAAGGAAACTTCTGCTCTGAAGCCATGTCATTCAGTGTCTCGGACATCCTAGCTGATAGCTGAGACACGTCCTGTCCATCATCAAGATCGCCCAAGCCATACACCCGTGTTCTCCTTTGAGACAAGCAATAATTCTGCGCATCCAACTTTGACCACTGGAAGACATAGCCTAGCCTCTTCAAATCCCGCTCAATCACCTAGCAAGGGACACGCGACATTGCGTTTGCTATTGTACAGTCTTATTGAACACGACTGTAGAGTACAATACTGTATAGTATATTGTAGAGCGCTGATCAAAAACATATTCTAACTGCACTGTTTTGCAGTCAAATGAAACAAACGACTAATATAATGCACAATACTTTTCATTCCGTCAAAAGACCTCGCCTCAACCGGTTTTAGATTCTCCGCATTTCCCTTCACCCGGTGGCATACCTCAACCACATTCTCAAATATGAATATTGCTGGATTGGTCTGCTCAATTGCACTCTTTACTCCAAGCTTATACGTAGAGCCGCTGGTGCCAGAACCGTCTTCATAGCCTCAGGTCACTAGTCATTGGTTTCTATTTCAAAACCTGCAAACATATTGTACAGTACGGTACGGCACCCTACAGTAAACTATACAGTACAGTAGTTCAATATGGTTGCACTGTACCGTACAGGACTGCGTACGCTACAGTGCTGTAAGGTCAAGCCAAAGGGCAATTTGAGAATGTTGCGCGGTCAGAAAACATTTTTGACAAGTTCTTGCATGATGGGCCTGACACCAGAACGTCGATAGCTGTTGGAATGCAATGCTTCTTCCGACAACTATGGCAATAGTGAACTTGTCCACTTCGGGCATCGAAGATGGAAACATCGTCGAACATGTGGAAATCTGGCTGCTCAGCGGTTGGAGGGCTGTGAGCAGACATAATGAATTCTCTTTTGAACTCATTGAACTCAACGCTGAAGGAGTGCTTTATATCAATGGACACCTTGGCTCACCGTGTCTGCATGTATGCCGTGCTGTTCACAGCTTGTATCACTTGACCCCACAAAGTTTCTTCAGATATACAGGACAGTACAGTATGTATGTACAAAACCTTCCCCCAAAGGGCAACAATAGCAGTGCTGTTCTGTACTGTAATTATGTTTCCAGAAACAACATATTCAAAGAGGCCCAGGCGCATGAAAGATCTCACAAAGTACTTTGAACGTTTGCAAAAACACTGGAACTATCACGTCTGTTCCGCTGCATGTTGACCCAATGCGAATGCACTTGCCGTCCAAAGATTGCAACGTTGAACGTAGTTTCTCCGTGTCAGGTCGTGACAGCCGCTCCAAAAAATGTTTGGCCGTGGACGCCAAGCTCATCCCAGTCAGTTGGGAATTCTTTCTGCGAAGCTGGGACATACCCAACCTCACCCCCCTTCCTCTTCTGGGTCCCACCACCATAGGCTCTTCGAAGGGGCTGATGTTCACCAACTGCCACTCCCACAAACCTTTGCCTTCATCAACAATGCCTCGGTTAAACAGTACCACTTGGCATACGCATATTCTGTTTGCACTCTGAAGTACACAGTGCAGTACTGCGCTGTACTGTACTGTATACTGTGCTCAATACGGTACAGTCGGGGGCCGACAGTTAGAATATGAAAAATAGGTATCTAAATTGAAGGTCAGGCACGGGTTCTCCATGCCGTCTTTTGCAACTGCTCAGCTCTAGTGAAAGCACTGGTCCCACGAAGTTGCGAAAAGGTTTGAACGGGCTCAACTTCTTTGACCTCGCACATCGCTACTGCCACATCCGAGCCGCTCTCAACCAAACAAAACTTTCCACACCGGGCTTGCTTGGTTGGCTGCCATGAAAACAGCCAAGAAGATAGTTCATTAATATGATTCAATATCGCCGATGAAACCCTGATAGCAGTGAAAAACTCATTGTCTGCTTCCTGCTCTTGGCTGCCTCTTGCTTGCTCTTGTGCTTCTAGCTTTGCTTCGTTGCTGAGACCTTTGGTCTCTACTTCTGTTTTTCTGCTATTTGCCTGTGCTGGTGCTCCTTTGCTATCTGCTTGTGGTGATGCTTCTGGTGCCCCGACGGTTTGCGCTGGTGCATGCACTGAGGCTTCTGGCTTTGCTTCATAGTGTGTGGCCGCGATCCCGGGAAGCTCACATGGTAACTGAGGTCTTTGAAGGTGACCAAAGCAATAATCCAAGGAGTGAGAACTGGGATCACCATCACAGGGTCCTTCTCCTGGTGCTGGCGATGCCTCGATGATGTCCTTTGTCACGGGTGCTTCAGCTTCAGGCTTTGCTTCATGTGTGCTGCTATCTGCTTGT